AAAGGGATATAAGTCAGACACTCGTGCAAAAATGCTGACGGTTCAATTTTATAAATACTACATGACAAATTACTTTAAATTCAACTCTGTCGAATGAGTGTATTAGGACAGTCCACCTCTAAAATGGAACCTTCTCCATATTCCCACCCCCATCAAGAAACTGGACTGGTAACTAACCAACACAAATTTGGTGCTCCATGATTTTCTTTTACATTAGTTAACACGTTGGCACTGAATGGACTATTTCAGTTGTGCATGTTCAATTGACCACTACTAAAAGCACAAATTAAATCGTGGCCTTCGACTTTTACACAGGACTGCAGTACTGCAGAATTTACTGCAATAAAGATGTGAAAGATCTATTTCATATCAGAGTTAGCCTGACAAGGAAACTTAAAGATGGCGCCTTACAATTGGCAGCCGTCTACAAAAGCTCTTCAAGAGCTCTGCTTTTTTAGTTGTTTTTGTCTTTTGTTTTGTCGTATGGTGTTTTTTGTCCTTGGTGTGGACCTGTTGTGTACTCTTTTCAGCGTTGTGGCCACGACATTCGTCGAAGGAGAAGAATTTGTGCTTGTTGGTTGCACGTCTCGGCAGCACGCATGTACCAGCACTGATTTTGATGGGGGGAATGTTGGCGCTATTTCACTGTTGCCGCCCCGGGGCACTTGTGGGGTTTTTTTTTTTGCGCCTGTAATGGGCAGCATTTTTCACAGCCCCTTTTTGTTCAGCGGAGATGTCGACGCTGTTGGACAGTCTGAGTTAGTGCGGCTCGATGGATGACTGGTGGAGCCGACGATGAGAAGAAAGGAGCGTCAGCGCAGAGCGCAGATGCGTATGTGGAACTGAGAGTCGCCGCTTGGAATTGAAGCTGATCTAAAATTGACAGGAGAAGTAAAGCAATTTCGTTTATCGGCAATGGACGCTACAGCTTCTTGTTTACTTTCAAATTTAGCTTGTAGCCGACGTGTGGGATGTCATGCACGTTTTGAGGATGATGTCGCTGATCTTTGATTCTCTCTTTTTTCATCTATAACTGATTCAAAAACAAGGTGTTTGCAGGAATAGCTGTTATGACTATCTGTGTTTTATGTTATGTTGTATTTTATTTTATGTTAACTTTTCCCGCGACCCTTGTGACGATAAGCGGATCACAAAATGAATGGATGGATTGATGGATGTTAACCGTTCTGTAAAGCGCTTTGTTACAGCTTCAGCTGACGTGAAAGCGCTATACAAATAAAGATGTATTGTAACTCTATACAGAGGTGGGGGGGGGGGGCTTTATATTAGCCAATATATTAGCCAAATGTTTAACAAATTATAATTGTATGACACACTAATGATTATGGTTTTGTATTAGTCAATGTGCCTGCTATACATTAATCAGACAGTAATGGATCACACTTTTATGGGCATCCCTTATATAATCAGTTAACCGTTTCATATCAACAGCATATAGTATAAAGCAGTAATGGAAGCGAGAAACCTTTTTCTTCTCTCTGTGCTTCAGTTTGACCTGTCGACAGACACACCTGCATCCACGTCGTCCTGTGTCTTCACACATCCACATAGTATAGCAATGACAGTAAGATATTAAGATTAAGATTAAGATATCCTTTATTTGTCATCTTCACACATCCACATAGTATAACAATGACAGTAAGATATTAAGATTAAGATATCCTTTATTTGTCCCGCAATGGGGAAATTTACAGTCAGAGTTCAGAAAGGAAACCACTAGGTCGGGAGAGGGAAAAAAAAACACATCACATCACATATCAACACAAGTTGAGAAAAAAAATTTCATACACGAACATGACCTGGCCAAGACTAAATACACGACATGAACAAGGCTAAAACGTGCGCACATGGACACTAGACTTGTGCTGGGAACGAAAATAGGGCCTGATGACACGATACGCCTTCTCCTTTCCTGTGAATGGCATTATTAGTTAGTCACAATGAAATAAGTGCACACTATGTTTTAGGCAAAAAAACAACAACAACATTGAACGTGACAAAGAGGGCCCTGCACCGATGGACTGAATCTTGATAGAGGCATGCAACAATTGGGCGGGGTCTGACGCTTTACATCAGGCTGTTGTTGCTCTGTTCTGGCGTTGGCTACGGCCACAGGAGCTGTGTTTGGGATTTAGAATAAAAGTGAGATAAACGACTATTGTCTGACGTGGGCGGTGCACGCAACAGCTGTCTTGAGGCCAACATCATGAAAAGGGCGGGGCAGCCACACAGGGAGAGGCGGGTTTTAGAATGAATCGTCTTACTACAGAGGTTGGCGACTATGATGAGGTTCATGATTGGTGAGGCACGAAGCAGTGGCAGGGTGTCAGCTGGCAGTTGGGAAATTCGAAAAAATTCTTTAATGCTAACTTGTGAAACCCACCTGTTTCCAACCCGTTCACTTGTTTAATATTCCAAACAGGCATTTTTTGTTTTTTTCGGGGTTTTTTACAATTCTCATCTTTCGCAGTACAGTATTTTGTTACTCCCAGCTTTCATGGAACCTGTCGAAGACATCAAATTCAAAATATGTGAATATCTGGGGAAAAAAAACAAAACAAATAAAATGTATCAGATTGAACAATTACAATACAATACCTTGTCTCTGTCGTGTATAATTAGAATATAGGTTGAAAAGGATTTGCTCATTTTACGCAATGTCTCAACCTTATTGGAATGGGGGTTTGTAAGATATAAAAATATTACAAGTGATATGTACTGTATATCTATTTTTTGAGTACAATCAATGATGAGTCAACTTGACTTGTTTGTCTCTGGTTGTTTGATTCATTGACTTTTGGTTTAGGGCGCATGAATGCGATCAGCAATTCATCGCCGGTGGAAATGCTAACCAAACGGATCTCGTGAACCAAACCAAACTACCATTTGGTCAAGGTCATCTTTATTGTCAAATATGCTTTATGTATGACATGCAGCATAGATGAAATTTCTTCCTCTCAATCCTCAGTGCAAACATGCTGTGCATTAAACACACACAGCGAAGACAAGATAGCAGCTACACTGTATAAAAAGACATAATATGTCATCTGAACAGTATAAACAGTATACGTAGACAATATAAACAACATAAACAATGGCACTTGTGGCTATTGTGGGTAAAGTGAGGTAGTGCATTGTGCAATAAGCAGATGTCGGATGATGAGGGGAGGGTCATTGTCTGTGACAGGAGGCAGGGGTCGGGCAGAGGCAGAGGGCGGCGAGCGCGGGCAGAGCAGGGAGGGAGTTGAGTCTCCTGACCACCTGGTGGAAGAAACTATTTTTAAGCCTGCTGGTTCCGGCACGGAGACTCCGCAATCTCCTTCCCGACAGCAGCAGGCCGAAGAGGCTGTGAGATGGGTGGGTGGGGTCACCTGCGATCCGGATGGCTTGGCAGTTCAGACGGGAGTAGTAAATGTCCACGAGTGGGGGGGAGAGAGACACCAATGATCTTCTCAGCTGCTCTCACGGTGCGCTGCAAAGTCTTTTGGCAGGACACAGTGCAAGCACCATACCACACAGTGATGTAGCTGGACACGATGCTCTCAATGGTGCCTGTATAAAATGTCTGCATGATGGGGGGCGGGGCTCTTGCTCTCCTCAGTGGAAACATGGCTGACGTACACTTGACAGCTACGTTGTCGAGCCACATGTTGGATGGAGGGGGTGGTTAATAAGTTTAAGCACAAAAGACACCCATATTATTTGCATTGTAAAAATTATCAACATTCAGAGAGAGCCCAGTGAAGAACACTTCTACTGAGCTGTCAGCTTCCCAGTGGCAATGGTAAGTTCAGTACGATTTCATTTTGAGACAGGAGTAATACTTGATAATACTTTGAAGCGATAGTTCATGTCAGTGTAATACTGTTTTTGTTTCCTATTTGCATAATCACTGAATTCAAGCAGGATGGAGACCGTTCAGCCTCCCTCTTTTTTTGCCTGTCACGCTTTTCATTCATCCAGGAGATTTTTGTCCTCAGGGATTTCAATCGCACCAAGTGGGTTCATTGAATTGTAGTCCACGTGCGATCGATTGAATGCTGTGAGGATCGACCGAGTTAACAAATACAGCCGGTATTGCTGATCTTAGCATGACAGTGGTTCACCTTTTGGAGTACTGAATATACTTCTACAATCAGTCCACAGATGTGACTCCTTAGAACTACAGTACGTGGAAAGTATATTGTATAACTGAATAGCTGGGTATCGATTCAGATTTGATTCACAATGGCCGGATTCAAATCCATTTACAATTCACGATTCACTCTGTTTGATTTTCGAATCGGTAAAGGATTTCATGCAATATCAATTTTACCTTCAGATGCAAGGCATACGTTGAAGAACCAGCGCTGCAAATAGAAACTTCTAGCTCTAACAACTTGGTGCATTATGAAAAGCATGACTATTGACGTTAAATATTGAACCCAATGCATTTGTGTATGTTTTACTGAACATGACCCGGTGAAAACAATAAATAATACATAGTTTGGAAATCAGTTCTAACCACAGGGCAGGCTGTGACAAAAATTCTGTAAATTCATGACATTCACATTCCCATGACTCTCACAAAGTTTCAGTTCACTGCCGTCTTTGTGTTTTTTTTTTTTTTTTTTTTTAACCAAAACACTTCCAGGACGTCTCCCTACAAGTTTGTTGGCGTTGAATTCAGCCATTACACTGTGTGTGTGTGTGTGTGTGTGTGTGTGTGTGTGTGTGTGTGTGTGTGTGTGTGTGTGTGTGTGTGTGTGTGTGTGTGTG